CCTGATGACTGCTTTATCACGGAAAGAACACAAAATTAACATTTGTGTTATACGTTTCGTGCAACTGTTCAAATTTGCACATGGTTAGGCAGCGATAACTGCATACGATTGTACCGAAATTTTATTAAACCCTAACCTACCCGAAGTCGAGAGAATGCGGACCAACAATCACAGAATCGGACGATGGTGTTATATTAAGTTTTTGAATAGTTTTTTTTCGTATGTTTGGTTTTCTTTTCTATTTATGTTTTCATCATTTGACTCAATAAACGATGGTACTATATTAAAACTCTCCTCATATTATTCTTTTCGTATACGTTACTTTCTTCAATTTCTAAAATATATGTTTATTATATATATGCATATTTATTTTCCCTAGGTAAAATATTATAATACTTTTAAATCAACAATGGTATCAATGGACTATGAACACAATTTTGCATTGAAAACAAAAAGTGACACTCTTTGTAAATCAAAAACAATACGCTAAAATGAGATGCTTTGCGAAACAGGTGAAGTTTATAGATATTGAATAATTTAATTTATTACAAAAAATAAAAAATAGCTATGTTGTTCAAATACACAACCTATAAAAAACGAAATAAAAATTTCATATCTTCTACGGATATTGATCTTCATATCCATCATCAAAAGGGGTAAAATCAACTGAAGTTTCAAGCCTGAAACAATATGACAATATTATAAAATCATAAAATAGATTTCAATGGAATACATATACACGATATAACATCAAAGATGGAATTTACATACATCATCTTTGCTATTGCCACTTCTGGAGTAGGAGGATCTTCGAGAATATCAGATATGAATCTTTCCCATTCAACTATCCACTCATCTAATTACATATACATATTCAGTATGCATGTGGAAACAATAAATTTGTTAAACTTCTGATTAATTGCCGTATTGAATAGATATTTATAGTTAATATTTACGTACCTCTCCACCTATTGAAAGAGAAAAATCGCAATACAATAATATGCCTTGAAGACCTATCACGATTCGTCCAAAGTTCTTCAAATTTTATTGCCAAGTTATCCCAAGCAATACATTTCAAGGAATTTCCACTGTATATATTTACACCAACATAGAAGATAATTAACATATTTTAATATATCAAAAAACCCAAGTCCGACACCAGATATTCTGAGGATAAGTTGTACTTACCCGAGATCTTCGAGTACAAAACAAATAAGTGGACGTTCTGTGGGTGTATCCGATGTATCGGACATATGAACTCCTCTTTGAAGTTTCTGAACAAAAGTGACAATCCCGAGAAGATCAACTGCAAAATTAAACAACTAAGTTAGAAAAAATTCATTTCTCAGCTAATGAGATAAACCAAGATAATAACATGCATGTAAGAAACTTACCAAGATATCGGTTTGTTTAAATCGACGCAAGCAAAATATCTATGAATGGACAGAAAGAGTATATTTCTCTGGAAGACTTCGGATCGGTTTTCTCAGTGATTGTATCCTCGTTGATACGTATATGACAGTTGTTTGATGATATACTTGGATGTGGTAATCTGTCGGTAAGTGCAAAATTACCAAGAAAATACCACTCTCCTTCGAGCAATACATACTCGAATTTGTCAAGTATTTCAAATTGCATGGTACACAGGATGCGATTGTCCTACACAGTTTTAGTAAAAAAGAATCAATAAACGATTACATAATTCCCAAAACATGAACAGGGATAATATTTTAAAATCTTATAAACTTACAAATTCGTCAGCGAGAACTAACATCTGATTAGGGCAACCAATGATACTAAAATCATAATAATTTCTAACTACTTGGACACAAATACGTTGCTCGCTGTTTGTCTTCTGAAGTTCAGAAACTCTATTACATGGAGACATTCGTTGTTTTTATTTAATTTGGAGATGAAAGATGATAAAAATGAATGTTTCTTTTTATAAGACGGATACAATAAACGGTTATGTTTTAAAACGCGGGTTTAAAATACCTTAGAAACGACGGTTATGCTTTTAAAGACGAGTTTTATATACTTAAGCAACGATTCGTCAAAACTAACAAAATTAAATGACAATTTCTAACCAAAATTAACTATTTTTTATTAATAAAAAATACGATAAATATATATAAGATCTATTTTCACATAAAAGTTTATTTTATTATTTTATGATAAGGTAAATTTCTCTTCGGGATTACAACAGATCAAAGGATGTTATATTCGTTCGAAAAATTTCAAAAATAAATTTATATTGAACATTTAAGGAATAATGTCAAATTTTATTATTAAAATTCTGCAATATATATATATATATATATATAAGCTAGGGTTGATCCGTGCGACGAAAGAAAACAAAAACATCAATTCATAAACATTATAGATATAGTATAATTCCAACCCAAAATACATGTTTTACTTTTTTCTTATGACGGTAAAGGAGACTTTTTGATAAAAAAATACAATATTAAAATAAAACCCTAGTAATTTTATTAATTATAACGGAAACATTTTAATAATCGTAATATGCCATATAAAAATATAAAATTAAATAAAAAATAAAAATAAATAACTTAAAATCCTAATGCTTAACTTATGAAATTTACAAATTGGCTAGTCCCATCGCATGACATGCATCCTTGAAGGTAGGACATCACTCACCACATTCACCGTGTAAAGGATTACAAGTTTGAGTATAGTACACGAGAAGGAAATCACATGGCTGATGAAATAGCAGGAGAGACTTCTTCATTTACAAACAATGTTCCTTTGCTATATTCAAATGTGCCAAAATCGGTAGAATGTTTAATAGAGATTGAAAAATCTCTATGGATTTGGATAAATGCAAAGTTGTACTTGAGGCAAAAAAAAGGCACTGATAAACTCTTGATCAACCATTGGGCTAAGAAGGCTTTCACATAAAATTACATATATAGATTATTAAAAACTTAAAACAGAATAATGAAATACAATAAAATATTATCTTTTATCTCAAAAATAGTTAACTGAACATTTTTTTATAACAATACAATACTAATAAACCTAAACATACTAATTCTTGTTGGATTATTCTTACAATCTTTTGTTATGTTGTATAATTAACTTTATTTATATTGAACTTGAATTCAAATAATATTTCAAGTATATTGAATACAATCAACAAATCAAAATTAGTAAGTTAAATTCTTCATTTTCATAAATATTAAGATATAAATATAAATATTTTTTAAATACAATAAAAATAGAATTCTGAGAATATTATTTTTGGAGTAAGAAATAGAGTGGGATTAGAGAAGAATCCAACTCCATTATCGAGTTAGTTATTATGAGTTAAATATAAGGGGTTGAGATGATTGGCATTGTGTATGTTGGCATTGCAGATAGCATTGACTTCAATAGGACAATCATTCCTGCAAGTGATAGAAACTTTGATGACCCCGACACCGCTCGCTACTTGATTCTGTCAACTATGGAGCTTAATAGGTCACTCTTTTTCCTGCCAAAATATTCTGGTAAGCCCAGGTATTTACCTATCCCTCCTTCCTGAACAATGCCTAAAGTTCTTTTCACTCTCTTTTTTGTTGCCTGATTTGTCTTCCTCGAAAAAGTGATTGACAATTTTTGATTGTTTATTTTGTGGCCTGAAGCCTCTTCATACTGATGCAGGATTTCTACCAGAGTTTTGTAGTTTTTCACCGTTGTGGTACAGAAAAACATTGTGTCATCTGCAAAAAGCAGGTGTTTTACTCTTGGAATTCCCCTCGCCACTCTTACTACTACTAACTTCCATGATCTCTAGGCATTGTTGCAGAGTCCCGATGATGTGGGTGCAATGGGCACTATAAGTTCTACCCTAAACAAAGCTGCAAGTGCACAGAAAACGCAGTAGTACTTAGGGATCGAATCCACAAGAATTTGTGTGTTGAGGACTCCTAACTGATACTAAGAAAAATTGTAGACCTAATCATATTAAAGGGGATTTTCGTTGTCGCTAATTCTAATAAACTAAGCAGAAAATAAAAGCTTGAAAAGAAATCGGTTTGAAAACAATAGAAAAACGGCGCTCGGCTTAGGGTTTATCTCTGCAGTTCATGATCTATATATGACATAAGGAACTACATAAGGATTTTCTATGAATCTGGAACTAGAATAGACACTTATAAGATTAGCCAACTCTCGTCACCCTAATCATCTAATCATTCCAACTCGACAAGTAGCTTTCGTCTTGCCGCGAGAGAGATCAGGCATTAATAATTGAATTCATTTTGGCTCACGTCTCCTCCGTAGGTAGCTTTCGTCTCCTACAATGGCCACGTCCATAAGGTCATTTTCAAGTAATCTAATACATTACTTTCGTGGCTTTGATTAAACCTTAGATCAGATACTGGTTAACTACTCCAGCATACATCATTACGAACGGGATGAATGGGAGAGTCATGTAAAAATTGAAATCCTTTAACCTAAAAACCTACATGTCCCCTTTGATGGCCCTTTTACTCAACAAGGTAACTACTCAGACATAGCTGAGCTTGACATCATCATTGGTTTAAAAAAAAAAGCAGTAAAGTAAAAAGAAAGAAGATGAAGAAAAGCTTCTCTTATTTAAGAAAAGTATGGCGAGAAAAGCCTTCTACAAATGCATAAAAGTAAAACCTAAAACTAAAATGAAGTACTCTCTCTAAAGAATGATAGAGGCCTTGTTACAAAAGACCTAAAGACAAAGTATTTATAGTGTTTCTCCTCTTCTAATATGCTACAATTCAAGTTTTGTTAAAATATGTTATCGAATTGAGTTTGTCATTGGAATATCCGACTACAGTTAAACGTCAGAGATCAAACCATTAATACATCAGATCCAACTTAGTGAAAAATCGAAAAACATCAAATCTATTAAAAACTATAAAACCGAACGTAATGGTCTTATATAATAAAAACAACTAACATATTTCAAGATACATAGAGACAACAAATCATAAAACAAAACACAGTAAAAAGAAATATCATATCTTGTCAAAAACCTCCTTGTAGACGACATTCAATGTTTTGTTTTGTGGTTTGTTGTCTTTATCGGTGATCAATATCTTCAAACCTTCTCTGGATGTAACCCTCGATACAGCGACATAGAGTTGCCCATGAGTAAAAACCGGTCTTGGAAGATACAAACCAACCTTTTCGAGTGTCTGTCCTTGGCTTTTGTTTATAGTCATTGCAAAAGCTAATGTGATAGGAAATTGCTTGCGTCTCATCCTGAAAGGAAGTTTCATCTCCGAAGGAGAAAGGAATATCCTAGGAATCAGTATTTTTTCACCAACCTTGCTACCTGTTATTATCTGAGCCTGGAGAACATAATTAGCCATCTTAGTAATGATGAGTCTTGTGCCATTACACAACCCATTCTTAGGGTCGACATTTCTTAGAAGCATTACAGGAGTACCCTCTCTCAACTTCAGGACATGATTAGGGAAACCATACATCTTGATACTATTTAAAAACTCCTCGGTATAAATCATATTGTTGGAAACACCTTTATTTTTACTGGCTACACTCTCTGAGGGTACTTCAGATGCATCATTGTAATTGACAACTTCTTCAGTCGCATCAATGCTATCACAACTAAGGTAGGTCCTTTCAACACCTGTTATATACAAAACAATCGTTGTATTATATAAATATAAACAAATAAGCTAAGAGGAATTAAAACAAAATAAACATACCCGATAACTTTGAAAGCATGTAATCATTTATCGTATCTACATCATCGTTTCTTGGACTCAGTATGGCACGGTCTTGGAAAAATTTAGGATCAGTCTCTTTCGAAAACGAACTCCCATAAATTTCTTTGACGATCGTTTTAATAGGATCTTTACAGTCTTTAATCAACAGATCATCAGGAATATCAATCACGGCTTCACCACTTCCATCGTCATTTATCGTATTTTATCATGGTTGGATCCTCTATGTTATCTCAAATTTTTGGGGTGATCAGACGGTGAGAAGTTCTTCATCGCTTGTCATACTTTTGACGGTCTGCGTTTATCCAAAATTGCTCATTTGTTCCAAATTGCATATCTTTTGCCCAAGTTTCCTGTAAAGTCTTTTGAAACTCTAAAACATTGAAAACATTTTAAAAACCATTGAAAACAGAGTTAAAACACCTGCATAAGACATAATTATGATCCATATCCTTTCTCCAATAGCTCGTTAACTTGGCGCTGCAATTCTTTTGTCTCCACCGGGTTGGTTCTATAAGCTGGACAGTTTGGAAGAGAAGCTCCGGGCATGAAATCTATTTGATGCTCGATTCCTCTAATAGGAGGCAAACTCTTTGGATTCTCTTCAGGGAACACGTCCTCATAGTCCTGTAAAAGAGATTTCATATCACTCGGTATAACCGGTGTCAATTTAGTTAAGCTCACAAGAGCTTCCTTAAACACAAATAAAATCATCAGCTGATTAGAATATAAAGCTTCTAAACTCTCCCGGCTCTAAGAAAGAAATTGGATGGTATTGTGACCGGATTCTCCTTTTGTTTCAGCTGTACTTGATCCTGGTAAACTTCTTGAGGCGTCATTGGTACCAGGGTAATTTTCCTGCCATTGTAAACAAAGAAATGTCGATTAGTGTATCCATCGTGTATTACCTTTCGATCTGACTGCAATGGCCTGCCGAGGAGAATGTGCCCTGCTTTCATAGGTAATACATCACAGAGTATCTCATCTTCATATTTTCCAATGGTTAAAGGCACTCGGACTTGATGATTAATTTTCAGTTCCCCATTGTCATTGAGCCATTGCAGCTTGTAAGGTTTCAGGTGCTTCTCCATTTTTAAACCGAGTTTCTGAACCATCACCTCACTGGCTACATTAGCGCAACTTCACCCATCTATAATGAGGCTGCAAACCTTTCCATGGACAATGCACCTGGTGTGAAACAGGTTTTCTCTTGCTCAGCGTCTTTGGATTGGAGTCTTAGAGATCGTCTAGCCACTAGTAAGGTTCCTTGAGCCAGAAGTTCCTCATGATCCGTCTCAACTTCGGCCTCAGATTCTCCATCATCAGATGCTATGTTCCCATTATCCAGCAAGATCATGTTCTTCTGATTTGAACATTCATTCGCATAATCCCCCTGCCTTGGCACTTAAAGCACTTGACATCTCTTGATCTCAGATTAGTAGTCTCTGTCTTTCCTTTGTGATCTTGAGCAGCTGGATACGACTTGATTTCAGCTTTTGGCATGAAAATCTGTTTTCCTTCTCTCTGAAAAGATCCTGCTCTCTCTTCTTTCGGATAACTAGGTTTAGTAACGGTTGCTCCACTTCCATAGCTTGTCTTAGTGGGAACTCTTCTCTTGAGTTGTTGCTCGATCAGTATGGCTTTGTGTAGCATCTCTTCTACCTCAACATAGTGTTGCATCTCCAGCCTGTCTTGAATTTCTTGGTTCAAACCCCCCCCTCCAAGAATCTCGACATGGTAGCTTCCCTATCTTCATTTATATCGGCTATGAGAATGAGAGTTTCCATCTCTTGGTAATAATCTTCAACAGATCGGGTTCCTTGAGTGAGTCTTCTGATTCTCCGATGTAGTTCTCAATAGTAATGACTTGGCACGAATCTCTTCCTCATGATAGCCTTCATCTCATTCTGACTCTCAACCGGGTACTCTCCATTCCTTCTTCTCGATGTAACTAGCTGATCCCACCAGCTAAGAATATAATCATAAAACTCAGTGGCAGCAACTCTCACGCGATTGATCTCGGTATAGTGTTGGCAGTTAAATACTAATTCAATCTCTTTCTCCCATTCTAAGTAGGCATCAGGGTCGTTCTTCCCATAAAATTGAGGGATCCAAAGCTTAAGCCCTCCAAAACTGTCTTGAGGATAAGCCCTTTCCTCTCTTACTCGTCTATGTCGTCGGCGATTACTCCTTGACGAGCTACTGTCTCGGCTATAATATCCCTCTGTCGCTTTGTCTCTGGCTGGTCTGGTTTGCTCTCGAGCCCTTTCAGGAGAAGGATCAGTGTTTCGCCTCCTAGTGTCTCGGTTCGGCCTTGAATCAGAGTTCTGATGTTGGATCTCTTATCTAAATTCTTTGAACTGAGCGGCCATCAGCTTTTTCATCTTGGCCATCATTGCTTCCATCAATATTTTGTTGCTGTTGTTGTTTCTGGATTCTTCACGATGATCAGACATCTTATCCTGTAATCAACCCAAAATAGATCACTAGCAGCAATCCTTTAAGTCGATAAAAATGACCCTTCGTGTTCCTCAAGCAATCATGAAACCCTACGAGCGATCTAGCAGTTTGAATTTGAATCGACACTTCTTACACAAGGTACAAATGATGATGATCGATTAGGTTCAGTGACAGAACAAGACGATCTATAGATTTATGATGCAACGATCAAAGATTGTGAAAAGCTAGATCCGATGATTTGAGCAAAGTTTGAGATCATTTCTTTTGACATAATATAAAACAGATCTAAACGTATAAATACATTAGACACAACCTGATTCACGTTGACCCTTGCTTAGAGAGGCTCTGATACCACTTGATACGTTCCTCCTTTAGATCTTCACTCTAAGCACTAGATCTCATCAATGGTGTAAAGACTTGGGTTTGAAATTAAAGTAAAGATGATGGAATGAAAGGTCACACAAAGGATGCGGAAGGCCTTTGATATACCAGGGTGATTCGATGGATATAACACACCAAATAATCGGTTGCTTGAAAGATATGACACACTCACAAGCTAAGATGTTCAAAAGAACAAATGATCTAACTTAGAAAGAGTTTTTGATAGAAAGATAGATGATTTTAACACAGGAGCGTACAAGGGTTTAAAAAGAAAGAGAACAACTCTGTGACAGCCAATACTTGTCTCGAAAACAACTAAGACAATAAAGACTAAGTTTGAATAAGAAAGAAACAAGAAAGAAACTCTTCTTCTCCATTTGGCCGAGTCTTCTTGTGCTGGGCCTTTGTTGGATCAGCAAATTGGGGATATGATGTGAGCCGTATGTCTCATTAAAAACTTCTCTTTGGAAAACCCATTAGGACAAAATCAAAGGAGAGGGAAAAAGAGTGCAAACGGTCACATGCCCATTTACTGATCATCTCGAGCCTGTATAGAAACCAATGTAGCTTGTATAACAACTTCTCCCTCCTTGCTCAAGACATTATCTCATCTCCAACAAGTTCTAAGCATAGCTCCGATAGCTTCCTTAAGTTTCTTGGTCTTTGATCGAGTCATTGGCCGGCTGGCATCTCTAAAGCTTGTTCTATATCAAGTTCTCCTTGTTCTTCTAGTGCAACTCCTTTATCTCCAAGTTTCAAGTCCTCTATGCTGTCCATGATCACATCAGATTACGAGTTACCATTTATATATATTTCTATATTGTTAAATATATATACATATATATATATATATATATTAAGTTCTAATATTTGTTAAGAACTTGCTTGACAAGTTATAATTTTGTAAATAAACGTATTGGCCAATTCAATTAAATTGAGAGAAACTATTATAATTCTTAAGTTTCCCCTAAATTTATCATAAACTAGATTAATAATAGTTTGTTATCATGCTGAATAATTCTTTTATAAAAATTAACTGAAAACACCAAAAACTTTAAACCAATAAGATTTGAAATGTATAGAGTATTTTCATTCATATAGGGAGAATGATTCCCATGTTTATAGGTAAGATGAATCAGTTTCAAAGTTTTTTAATTATGAAATATAAAACAGGATTTTTAGATAGTTAAACATGGGTCTTAATTTAAAATTTAATTATACTTGTCATATTTTACATGAGTTATCAATTTTGGAGTTTAATATAATTTATTAGGTGGCTGCCCGCACCATGCGCAGGCATATATGCTTTAAGTTTTTTTTTTAAATGTGAATTTGTTATTTATCTGTAAAATTCATATTTACAATCTTATATTGAATTTTTAGATTACTAATTTGTACAACTATTCATGTTAAATTTACACTATTTTGTAGAATTTTAATGTTGATATTAATAACCAAATTCTCCAAAAAATATATATTATCTAAAAATATTCACTAGAAATAATTGATAAAATAGGACCGACTTCTCAAATACAGATAACACTTATTTCAAAAAAAATTAAATTTTAAATTTTAATTAATTTTTTGAGTTTTAAATGATTAAGTTGCAGATAAGATTAGAGAATACATTTTCAATCGTTGGACCCTTTTCTGGCAACATCTCCACACATCATGTATTAGTAACCACTATTAGAACACGTGTAATACATTGATACCTAAAATAAGTCATTATTGGGCTTAAAATAAGAATAATTTTAAATCAATGAATACCTACAGAAAAACTAATCTAACTCTTATTAATTATGTATAGTCCTGCTCACCATTAATCAATTTTATCAACGCTTAATAACTATATATCAAAATTCGAATGTGTGTTTAATACACAGACGAGCCGGTATAAATCATATTATAAGAAGTTTCTTTCTTCAATGATATGCATTTCCTTGTCGTTATTCTATAGATCACTTTTTACTTGATTTTGATTCCTTCTTTTTTTTTTGAAATTTGGTGAATGAAACATAGAATGTCTATAGCTACAATTCAGTGTTTGAAGATTAATATCTTGAATTTTATTTTGAGAGTTAATTGGGGTCTTAATGATACATTTGTTTGTCATCATCTATAAAATGACAAAAGTATAAAATTTTACACTAAATAGAGAAAATAATTTTAGAACTCAGAACTGCACAATATATTCAGAACTGCCATGCGAACGAATTTGCGAACTGGATTTAACATTGGAAGGATGTTGCATTTGCATTCAGATTATCAGAAGCATCATCAAAGACATTGGTTCCACTGCCTCTCTAAGAAAACTTCTTCTCGCTGATGAAGATGTCAGTATAAAAAACGAAAAACTTTATTACTTTGTTTCAAATTGATTATCTACCTTGATCATGTATTTTGTTCAAAGAGCTATAGAATCGTAGCAACGATCCCTAATAGTTTAGTGGATCAGTCCAATAGCCACTTTTCTTAGGAGCTCTTGTATTTCGTTCGTAATTTTAGCATCATTCCTGAATAAAAATTATCAAGTGCAGTCTTCATTAAATATCATGTATGTATCAACGAAGATACTCATATTCAAATAACATCATCAAATTCCACAGACCGTGTCTCTTCATTTTCATTATTCAGTGAAATACTCAATATTTCACCTACATATTCTGGGACTGATATGCTTCCTATACTATTGATTGTGTTCATTTAAACTTGTTTAGTATTTTGATTTAATCATTGTGTCAAAATTAAGTATTTCAGTCGATTTGATAGGAGGAATTGTCAAAATTCGTAAATTGAGTAAGCATACCGGGACAAAATACGGAAGATACGGGGTCGATTCAGCGAAATGTATCAAGTTCACCCTCAGAAGTTTTTAGTAAGCTACAATCATAAGTTTTGTCAAATAGAGAATAATAATCAAATTTATTTAGTTGACATTTAGTTATGTTTCCAAGAGTGTCGATATCAAATGTGTGGCGTTTGCTAAACATACCATTGATTTTGAAGCACTATGATTAAACATACCTAGGGGAAAGTCATATTATGTGTGTTGGGATTTTGGGAAGTGACACCTTATGGAGGTAATTTTTTACTGTATCAATTGATAATGACGATTGTACAATGTGACTGTGTTTATTAATAAATATAAATTTTATTCTATTACAAATGGGATACGTGTTTTTCCTGGTGGCGAATTTTCAGAAATTAAATTTGAATCTCCTACATCAAAAGTCAAGAATGTCCGTTTCATGTAAGACATTACGATTAATAGGTTTTTTTTTAAAAAAAGTTTGAAAAAGAAAGTTCCCAATTGTTAAGTCATTATGCTTTTTTATCTAATCAGGCTGGATTATACAGACGACTTCAACCACATAGAAGATGAATACAAAAGGATGTTGCATGCCATATTATGCAAACCATCGATTAAGATAAATTATATTCCAGTATCTAACTTATTTCACAAATTTTATTAGTCTATTATATTATTTGTAATGATGATATTTTTTTATGTTT